ACGGCCACTGATCTGTTTAACTATTCAAAAGCTTCCTGCTTTTCACGGAAATATCATACGAGAAACTACTGCGGCCGAGACTGTGATAAACCAGCTTAAAGGCAGTGAGCAAAGCAAGGCCAAGGAAAACGTGAAGGAGAAAATTATTTTATACTTTCTGAAGAATTTAGCGAATGGCTGGAGGGGTTTTTTGTCTCAAATAGCGCCAGAACCCAACTCTAGCGTAACGTTGTAGAGCAACTCTGATTTCTGTTAATAATTAATTCGCTGTTAAGGTAACCTTTCTCAGAGCACGCAACTGGTGGTGATTTCACGTTGTTGTTTGGCAGTAGGTTCGATTTCCGACCTTTCCTCCAGTTTGTGCTCCAATGAGCGCTGGCTCATTCTCAAACAGCGGCTGATAATCGTAGACAAGGAAAAGTGCAAAGGTTTAAATGCTAAATTTTTTTGCTCGTTAAATCTTCTGTTTGAACACACTCTCGTCACCAATATTTGCTGTCTTGGCTTTTCCAAAGTCCCGAATATAACATAAGGACCTCATTTCAATCAGAAACATGTCAAATTTGACATCGTTTTGTGGTCGGGATTTGAGTAAAAAAATTTCACTTTTTAGCAAGGGTATTCACACCAAAACTTAGTGATAAGACTGGAGGACGAATATCTCGGAGTAAAAACCTCGACATATAATGGTGACAAATTTCTCGATCCACAATTACTTAAAAAAACAAGCAGAGAACGGCTACATTAATTTAAATGCATCTAAATGAGCTTGGGATTTTGATGGCCGAACACAATGCACTTTAAAGATGCTATTTCCCGACTTTATGGATCACCTTGGAAATTTGAAATTATTATTTTTGTCTTGTAAAAGAAAAGCGTTAAAATCGGTTTGCTGGTGTGGGACTGAAAGGGAGTTGTTGATGATGGAAAAGAGATAATTATTGACACAATTAGCAAGTAAGAGAGACCGAAAGTTGAAAAAATGTGTATTTGAAAAATTAGTCTTTTTTTTGGTCAAAATTGCTTTGCAATATATAAGTTGACTTGAATTTTTCAAACTGATATATTTGTGTTGCATCAAACTATATATTTTTCAAAAGATATTACAATTCAATTTGTTGATCTCTTGATTAATTGTCTTTTACATGTTTTGCATTTCCTTGATTTTAATAGTGTCATGTAGTATGAGCTTCACAGATGACATACCAAAGAGTCTGTTAAAGGCCACATTAGAGAAAAAGGTCACTCTAAGCTGGAGCTTTTCATACAACAATTTGGTAGGCAATCCGGCCGGCCCATTTGGTGCCCCTGATGTGTACGAAATCACCTTTGGCATCTATAATTCAATACATAATGGGAACTTCATGACCAAGAAGCTTGGTGTTGTAGATAGTGGTGGAAATTTCAAGGTGCGAGACGGATATGATAGCATAATGCGTTGGAACTAGTCAATATACAAATTAACATTCACTCTTAAAAACTTTACCATTCAAGATCAGGCAATGTATGGTGTGAATGTTGAGCTTGGCTTGAGTCAGATGCCACTCAAGCATTCTGTGCACGTGATTGTTACCACAGGACCCTCATACGCGTTTCAACATGGCAGCTCAATTGTTCGTAATGGTAAGGCAAAGTAACTCAGTGATATCCTTAACCCTGTTAGTGTATGAATGATGAAAGTAGCCTGAAAAACTCTGAAATTCTACCTTTTTTTTAGAGTCAGCCAACATGATGGAGACTACTGACCTATCGTTTACAAGATCAGTAGACGACCGAACTGTTGGCCGTGCCAAGTACACTCTCTTAAAAAATAACGTGGCCATTCTTATCATTGGAAAGAACAGAGAGGATAAAAAATTCAGTTGCACTCAAGTTACCAATTTAAAAATTCCTACACCCTGTCCTGATGATGACTTCTCAGTGAACGAAACTTACATTTCTTTTAAACTAAGAAATGTAACTTTACAAGATGCTGGTCGATACCTCTGTGAAAAGTATCTGTCAGGCCTCCATAATACGACATGGGAGGAAATCAATCTTTTTATAAGAGGTAACGTGCGCGAGTATGGTTTGATAATTTACTGAAACTAAAGCCAGGCTGTAGCTTAAACCAATGCTGAATTTTGGAAAGACGGTTAATCTTCTTTCATGTGGTCATTCAATGGTATTTCGATTCAGTGATGATTATATGCTCAACTTAATCCGTGACAGTTTTACTATGAGCTGCTCCCAATGCACTGACCCTTCGGATTTACTCACAGGGCCTGAAAGAAATGTTTTTCATCGATGGGATGTTTTGAAATTAAAATCAGTTTATCGTGGCAAATTTCGAATGAGCTAATTCTAACTTGTCATTAATCTCTGCCTACTGCTTTTTTGCCTTCTTTTAGAAATTTCAACCGTGAAAACAACTGATGACGACACATCAACTCTCAGCACAAACAGCAGTTGTTCTGGTTAGTATTGATTGTAAAACCTACAAGTAAACTCATAGTCCAAACAGTGAGCTGATAGGAAGTTAGAGTATCAAAAGATCAAGTCATAATACAAAATATGTACAGAAGAGCACGGTCAGGTGTAGAATAGTTTTGTGAGCAGTAAATGTATCATTTGCGAGCAGGTCCTTATTATTAGCATTTCACCACGAGCTCGTGGGAAATTATGAGGCTTTGAGTTACGTGAACCGGCGAGAGGTCTACAAGGGATCCAGACCCCCACCAAACATCTCCCCGATTCGTCACCAGTATTCCCACAAGCGGAAAAACGCGCGTCGTGTAGTGCTAATAATGAAGGCCTAGTTCGCAGGTTAGTAAATGCAAGGAATAAAGCAGAATTGGACTGAAAGTACATGAAGTGGTTGGATCAATGTTAAAAATGACTAACGATGTGGAGTGGAATGTCAACAGCATGAGCCATGTGTCTTGTATGGAAAGAGGTAACGTAGCTTAGCGCACTCGAGGTCAGTGTTGTTCAAGTGGAGTGGAGCATTAAAAGGGCCATCACTTGCAGTAGACTGGCGTGGGATTGACTTGGTGTAGTCTGTACGTACTCGTGCAAAATACAATTAAGCTAGCTTGTTTCGGTGAGATAGTATTTTATTGATGTGGAATATTAGCATGAATCAGGAACCATTCCTTAGGCTCCTGCCTGAATTCATCTGAATAGGGATCAGTGTGAGGTGTTGGTGTGTGAAAGATGAAGAGTGCCGTCGAGTAACATCAAATCGTGGGAAATAAAAATGTGATTAAGTTCTCAAATGTGTTAGATTAATTGCTGTGGGAAAAGAGTCCATTGGAAATGTTACGCGTTAAATGCACAGAAGTAGTGCTGAGTTGCTCGGATCGTGCAAGGTGCGTGGCACTGGCGCAGAATACTGTGGCTAGAGGAGGATGAAATGGTAAATGCGCGTAGCAAGAGATTATCAGTTCGGGTCCTCTTGCATACATTGGTATTTAGAGAACAAGCAGGCGCTGAATTTAAAAATGAAGTAAAGTGCCGTGGAGAAGCGTGACAAAGAGTAGGATATCTAGGACTGAGAAAAATTTCCTTTGCCATTGTTATTGTCAATGTATTGCTTCTGAATATAAAAAAAAAAGAAGAGAGAAATAAAGAAAAAGACATTCACATTTTGAAAAGGTATAACGTGAAATTTTAGGCTATCTAAGTTAAGAACTAAGAAAAATTCTATTTAATTTTGATTCGCGTTCATTATTTTTCAGGTATTCGACTTCTCTTGCAAGTATTGGTAACGATATTGATCTTACAAGCACTGCTTCTTTAGTCGACACACCTTTCACCGAAGACGGGGGAAGCATTGCACATCCATTTAAAAAAACCCGATGAGGTAGCGGCCTTTGGCTTTTCGCTGAAAACCAGTTCTGGAGAAAATAAGAATTGATCCTGCAAGCATGCACTTGGCTAAAGCGTTCATTAAGAATGTTGGGCAAGAATGCTTAGCAAGATAGCGCACGCCAATGGAAAGCTAAACTAAATGGGGTAATGCACCGGTTAGTTCTAAGCTTCAAAACTCCCCTCCCTTCGGGCAAGTAGAAAACCCACGGGCATTTTACCGTTGCCCGTGCCCAATGGGGGTGGGAATTTGAAGCTTGCCTGGCTGGGATGGAGAGTTCGAACTGGAAGTGAAAAGTTTTTAGTTTCTTGCTGAATACACGTGCTATCCCTTTTAGATATGAAGGTGTTTAGGTATTCCCATCGGCGACCGCCCGAAATGTCAAGTGTGTTTGCTTATGAAAGGTAGCCGCGTACCAGAGGCCAGGCCACAGGGCCCTGATTGGATGTGTTTGTTGGTATTATCACTCATCTAACAAGAGAAGAGTATCTGAAACTGCAGAAAATGCTATAGAAATGTCTTAACCTCTTTAAAAATATATTTCTATTACAATGGGGTGTAACTCTTTTTATCTGTAACTGCTTTTAAGTGGTTTTCATAGATTTTGATTAATTCATATCAGGTTGAATCTCAATTTTAACATTTCTGTGAAAAAAAAATTTTACTATAATATGTGAATATTATTCTGTGAATAGGGACTTCATCTAGATTTATAAGTAAAGTGTACATATTTGTCTGTGCCAGACAGGTTTGAAATGTCAGATTGAGGCAATGACACACTGCAGTACAGTGCAGGGACAGGTTATAGCAATAAATTATTGTGTTACATGGCATTAGGTTTGGAGGAAACTTTCAGTTGTACCCACCACAGATTTTGACAGAGCAAGTAACTCAATTAATTTAGGCAGTTTCGGATTTGGAACTGAGAATGTGATCACCTGTACTGTGTGACATTATTACGTAAAATGACTAGTCATCTAAATTGAACCTCAACTTTTAAAGCAGGTACACACATTATTTTGTTGTAGTGACTAGTTTTACAGTGGCCTGAAGGATTAAAGTTCCAGTTTGTTTGTTTAATTTGGAATGGAGAGCAGCATCCTACTAACTTGAACTCTCAAGGGGAGTGAAAAATAGTGCAAGTTCTTTGGGCTGGGCATTGAATCTCAATTATCCTCTTTTAAAATAGTTAATAAACTGGATCAAATCATGTCTTTTCCATTCTTGGGTATAGTCTTCTTGAAGTTCATATTTATTAACTTATTCAGGCATATGAGAGACTACTTTATTCTTGCACAATCAACAGTCATGTATTATAGGGTGAATTTGAGATAAAGGGAAGTAAAAATTAGTTTGAGTTGACAATGAGGTCAAGACAAGTGAAATTTGGTTCAAGTTTGCAGATAGCAAATGACTTATGAATTGGGGTTCAATCCAGGGGAAATCAGATTTTGTTCCAGATAGTGGGGTGCTCTGAGTTAGTGGAGCTCTACTTTACTTTAATTGACTGGAAGTTAGATTATTATAAAGCTTGAATAAGCTGGTTTGAATACTGGTAATGTTTGAGCAGAACAAGAATCTCGAGAATCTGAAGAAAACGTTTTTCTTTTTTAGAAAAAATGCAAGCACTGTTGTACAGTTTAAATGGAGATTATATTTTTTATGTTGAATTTTTTCACTATCAGGTGCATACTCACTGAAGTCATATTCCTATGGCTTTTTGTAAACTGTAACAGACAACTGTGTTATAACAATTAGGAATAGTATTGTAAGCAGGAGACATTATAATATTGAAGATGTGATGATGTAATAAATTTTTTTTGTGGTATTAGGATAAGCAGTTGTGTTGAAAAAGAAACTGGGCATAATTTGTGTAATTTTTGATACTTTTAGCCCATTCTAGATCTGAATAGATGAAAATGATAAGGTGGAGGTGGGTGGCTGTAGGGATGGTTTTTCACAATCCAGTGAAGGGCTGTCAGATTCATTATTTAAGTGTCTAATGCTTTGGAAATTATTCCATATTATTCCTTTTTTACCCAACCTACTATCAAACAGTGGGGAGATTTTGGAAACATTCTAGCACACACATAAGGCTTAAAAGAATGTATGTGTTGAAATTCTAAGTTTGAAAATATTAACCCCAATCTTTTATTGACAGAGAAGCTGTTTACATTTCAAATAGGAAATAATCTCCTCTTCATGATCACATAGCTCAGGATTACATAGGCCCCAGAATAAAATTGCTAGACTCTGGGTCAAAAGGACCAAGCTTGAGCCAATAATTGGCCAGGTTTTTTTTTTTTAGTCTAATTTAAGAAGATGCACTCCTCTGATAATGCCTTTCTCCAACAAATGGGATATCAGCAGTTACTCAGGTGAACTTAAGCCTTTTCCACCCTAACAGAACCTCTCTTATTGATAATTCCCTTTCAATTATCATGACCTCAATGTTTGATTCAGTAGTGATTTTAGATGCCAATTACTCATAGAGGTTAACTTTGAAGGGTTAACCTGTTGAGTCACTGGCAGGGGTAATTTTCTTGGACTAACATTCTGTCCTAGAAGATTTATGCCGTTACAATACTAGTCATAGTATACTGAAGACAAGAGAATGAGGTGTGGTTCTAGGTACTAGCCAAGTAGATTTTAGTACAGACCTGCACTGCAGAATGCGTTAAAAAACCAAATGAGAGATACTACCTGGTGTAATTGTAATAGTTTTTGGTGCTAGCTGTTTGGGTTTTTGCTTGTAAGCATCATTCTACAATGTGAACATTTTTTTCTAAGATATTTGAAATTAGATCACTTTTATTCCTGCTGGTTGGGGAAGTGGGGGGAGGATGTTCAAGCTTCAAATTGATTGTTGCATAAACCTCTGTTAGTCAGCAGGGAAAACTCACTAGATGCAAAGGAACAAATAAATGCAAGAAAGTCTTTATTTACACTGTAAAACGAGATCGTCAGATTTTGACCCTATTCCTCAAAGAATCCTTAATTTCACACTATGTGTGATGTAAACATATGTGCATACTTATCAGCAACACGAGGCTCAATGTGCAAGCTAGGGACACCTGTAGTGTCATAAACAAAAAAACAAAAAAGTCTTCATGAAGAAGGAATTAATGTCATTTAAAAGTCAATGCAACTAAAAACTTAAAAAATCTTAAGCTAGTTATTCTTTCAGCCTTCAATATTGTATCAATACACACCTTCAATATGCAGGTTGATTAATTCTGTTTCTCCTGATCTTTTTTTCGCTCACAATTTTCACTATCTCACAATAATATTCACTCACTTTCCCCTGATCTGTTAAATTTTTCTTAAGGAATTACTTCCCAACTGTAGCAATCACTTAATAGGAATTTAATTTTCTACTCAAACCGAGCCATTTAGCAAATCATTAGTGATTTGGCATGGTTGTACTCTTGTCGACAACAACATTAGTTATCACATTTGTCAAAATGTTGTGGATTCACAGGGCACAGCCGAGTGGGTTTGCAACAAAACAACTTTTGACCACTGTAATAATGAATATTTGGAACAAACTGATTTAAACTTACCCAATAGCTTAGTTTACATTGTAGGGAAAAAAAAAACTCTTAATATAAGTTAAATCTTCATAGTGCCCACAGTAGCTAATATTCAAGCTTAATACTCCAATAATCAGACCAAACTCTATTCATTCATTCTTTATATTAAATATATGAAAAAACATATATAAAGATATATGAAAACATTATATATATAAATATATGAAAACATTATATATATAAATATATGAAAACATTAACTAGTAAGCAATTATAATCCTCCAGGACACTTTAAAACAAGTCACTGCTACAAATTGCTACTGCCTTAAAATTTGAGGTCTAGTATGGCTCATTTTGAAACTGCCATCAAATCCAATTTCAAACCAGTTTAAATTTGTGTCACTTGTTCTGCCAACAAAATTTCTGTAGCAAGGACAAAGCTTTCCAACAGAAGTATAGCTATCTTTACACAAGAAGATTTGTCTCTGCAACACGTTCTTGCAGTGTAATGCAGTCCTTGCAGTCTACCCTAAGTTACAGTTTACTTTAAGTAAAGCATTGAAAAATCTCTCTACCCACTCTGATTCATAATGCACTTAAATTAATCTGTCAACTTCTGAGAAATACCTAAAAATAATTGTATAAAAATTGCTAGACAAGTATAATTGATGTAATAAAATGCTGAAATCATTAAAGAGGGAAAACACCATTATTGGTAATTGCCCCAGGCTCTACTCCTTCTTCAGTCGATGGCTCAGTAATCTTTTTGGCATCTGTGTGTCTTCTGTTTCTTTCACACTTGCAATATACACCGCATCCAATCATCACGATTAAAATTACAGCTCCAATCCCAATGTAAACACCAATGACAACCTTATTTTTGGTGCCTGTTCCATTTAACGTAAGAAGAAATTACATGAAATAACAAATTAGTTACACCTTCATGAGATTGTAATTTACTTCAATCTGAAACTGTATTTAATTTTATGGCCACTTTTAAATAACCAATATAAAGAGGAGGAGAAATAAAAAGAACTTTTCTATTCAGATTGTAAAACATAAATTGAACCACTGCAGATTACAAATATCAATCAAGTATTGATGAGTTAGATTCATCAAATTGGTATTAAATTTAAAATGTCTGTATAAAAATATCCATTTGGTAAACTCATTACGAATGAGATTAAAAGGGGCAGAAAATCATCGTGTTTACCCGACGTGTATAATACGCACTTTATTTGCATATGTTGAAAACACAACAAAGAAAGTAACAAACGTGTCCTTTCAAAACGTGTCCTTTCATTCACAACACTGATAAAATATCGGGACCTAAACGATCCATTAAGATCACCGATCACTTCATGTGCACCTCTGCCAATGTAATCTATTGCATAACTTGCCCTTATTGCAAAGAGATATACATCAGCGAAACAGGCAGAAGACTAGGTGACCAATTCCAAGAACACCTTCAAGACGTGGAAAGGACTGACAAAGACACATTGAAACCAGTCGCTAGACACATTTTAATTTAAATTTAACTCTTCCTGTAATTTCCAAACATTATCCACAAAACAGGTGAAAATACTTAAACTTCAGGTGAGAGTTGTTATCTTGATCTATCACCAGATTCTCCTCCCTAATGCATGCACATGGAAATATGTAGTAATTAGACTTGAGAAAATTAAAAATTAGATCCTGGGAGTTAAGGGACCAAAGGCCTAAAGTTATTAATTGAAGAGAAATTTAGTTAACTTTAAGAAGCATGAAATTATATTTTATTTATTGGTTGGTGCACTAGCCATCGAAATGTTGACATTTGAGATGTGTTTGTCTGGTTCAGTATAGTTATGTGATGTTTAGAATAAAACGTACACTGATTTCACAAAATCAATGATTGGCTGCAATTACATGTAGATAGCCAAGAAAAAAATCTGTGGGTTTTGACATATTCAAACACAATTTTGTCAATTTTTCTCTTTTTCACAACTTTATATTATAATAAGTGAATTATTTGGTACCTGAAGTTGTAGCATCTGTAACTGATGGTTTATGTGTGGTATCATTTTCTTGGCTGGTCAAACCTATATTCAGTGACAGAAATGCTAGCTGTTAACATTTAAGAACAAAAAACCTATCCCCTCCAAGCAGGACCATGCATTTTGTTGCTATGTCCCTAATTAAACAATTACCAGTAACCCCCATGAGTGACCAAAACAGAATTTCTCCTTACCATACCAATATAATATCAGGGAGACAAGTGATGAGAATTAGGAAAAATGTCAACTAAGGGATTATTAATTAATTCAACTCCAAATTCTCAGGACTTAAACATCACATGAATTGTGTGGCAGATAGTAACGAAAATTACATCTGAGATCTTGAGGGTGAAGGGTTGAATGACACTTCATGTAAGCACTACCCTTACCAAATCTACATATATGTGACATATATGTGACATAGGTTCAATTGTTGCACATATATGTCACATATATGTGCATATATGTGACATATAGTTAAAATGCTACAGTCATTTCTACATATATGTCACATATGTCTGCATATATGCGACATATATGAAAATTGGCGAGGATGAAAACATATATGTAACATGTATGCAAGTTTGCACATATATGTAGCATTTATGTTTGCTCATATTTATCGATATAGCCTTGCATGGACTGATACAGTAAATTGAGGAGTCCCTAATTCCATTGTAGGGTTCAAATATTACATGATGCAGTGCTGTTTTCATTTTTATTACACTGTATGAATAATAAACTTAAAATGGAAAAGTGCTTATATCAATCTCTATAAGCACATTATATATACTCATGCATGCAGATCTGATTGTGAACTATTAAATATTTAACATTTTGCCAATCCTACTTAAATGATAACGTCAGCTTTTATAATCGTAACAGTGGCCAATTTACCATTTCAACTTTGTTGATATATTCAAATTATAAGCATGATTGACTGAAAGACAGTTTCACTGCCTAACTGACATGATTGACTAAATAAAACTTCATTTAGTTTTTTCTAAAGAAAGGTCACCCCTGTTAAATTTTGGGTTCCAATGATCAAGGTTGATTTTCATGATACTTTTAATTGGAAAATTCATCACACAACCAATAAGTGAGATATTTAACTAGCAAACTGATTCAAGAATCACAAGATGGGGCTAGCTTCACAAATCACTTTTTTCTGTTTGTTATAAGTGAACAATCCACTTATCTTCCACTAGAAGAATACCTTCACAAGAACTGGCAGCTATTAAAGGAGCACATATCTAATAATTTATCACAATATCTCTATTATTTGCTAAATTAAATACAGTACCTGTGAATGGGGTAAGTGTGCTGATTGGTGTTGCTGTTCCCACTGAAAGAAAAAAAAAAAAAATCATTATTAGTATGTCGCTACCTCACTATTTTGTACCTGTAAACAAAATTTTTCAAAGGCAGCTTGGGTTTACTGTCTTGTTTATACAGATCTCTGAAGGGGCATGATGGAAATCATTAATACCTCAATATGATAAGAACCAAAACACAAAACATAACTAAACACAGCAGACTTAAAGAGGTCTGTTTACCCCTTATTCCTAAAAACCGACCTAAACCAGGCCATTTCTCTCGGAAGAAAAATTCCGCTCTCATTAAGAACTGCCCCGCCAGATCAACTTATTCATAGTAACTCAGAGTGTACCAAACCAAAACTCAAGATGTCACATCATCCAATAAGTTTGGAAAGTAATATGTCAAAAACGAGTGCCAGTGTTTCATCAGGGGTTCCAAACAATGAGAAACAGATGAAAGCACGAGGCCACAGGCCAAGTACTTTTATTGTTTCGAGGCGTTTGGAACCCCTGATGAAACATGAAGCACAAGTTTTTGACATGACTTCTCAATCACTCCTAAAAATACACTGCAATAAAGTGTGCAAAAATAATTTATTCCCTGCAGGAATGGTAAATAGCTCAAGCAAGTCTCTGCCTGTATTTTGAAAGCCTTTTGTCACATGCTAGCAGTGTTTCATTGTATTTGATGGTTATGGCTGAGAAGAAGGAGAAAGGAAGACCACGTCATTTCTGTTTGCCGAAAAGTGCAGCTGAGGAACAAGTCCTGGCCAATGAAGCTGTTCTATCTTCTACAAAGTACAAAAACAAATGGGCTTTAAAAGTATTTTGGGAATGCATGGCAGCAGCAGGGAAATGAAAGTGCCGATTTTAGATTCTGGTGGTCTTTTCAAAGATTATGAATTGCACAAGGTTAATCCTGTTAGTTGTGAAATAGAGGATATGGATGTCATATCTCTTAACTACTGGCTCACGAAGTTTGTAATGGAAGTCACCAAAGATTTAGGGGAAGGTATCCACCCAGGACTGTGTACGGGATAGTGTGTGGTCTGAAGCATCATTTGGGAGACAAATATGGTAACGAGGTGTTGAATCCACTTGATGCCCACAATAAAAGGTACGGGAAATTAAACATGTTGGTTTTTGCTTGTTTGGTATTTTTCATTTCGGGAATAGTTTCAGGTTTTATTTCTAGTGACATACTCTTGTTGGTGGATTATATACAATATGTTCGGCATTTTTTGGCATGCCTTAGATGCAGAGATGATGAATGCTACCAAAGAAGGCCTCCATATCAAGTGCCAAAAGGAGGAGAAAGAATTTGTCACTGCTAAAGAAGAAAGAAAATTCTGGGAGATGAACTTATTGGGAACAGTAGTGAATAATTGATTGTATAGTAATTGAGGTTGCCAATTAAAATTCTAGAGTCTTGATCAGTGTTTTCATCAGATTTTGAACTAACCGGAGTATTCTTGATCTAGATTTTCATTGGGTATCAAGATACATGTACCTGACCAAAATGGGGCACTCCGATTGGCTTGTAACCATATGAATAATTAATAAGTTTGAGAAAGTTACTATAATTAATATGGTACATTTCTAGGGCAGCTCTATTAAGTCTTCAACTCAAATTCACAGCAGGAGACTAATTAACCCTTTAAATCCAAGAGGTGATCAACATGTAACTTCTCCCTATAATATCCAAACCTTATCTGGCAAACAAGTGATGAGAATACTCAAACTCATCAGGTAAAGTTGTTATCTTGAAATAACACCAAATTCTTGTAACTAATTTACAAGAAAATTTGTAGCAGCTGGAGGGGAGAATTAACAATCAGTTAGAGGAGTTAGAGGGTTAATGATTGTTCACTGAAGGCAATGTGAATAATGTTGAATAATCCCTGAGATGAAGTTGAGGGGATTGTTCAACAAGGTGATTATGGCAAGATATGATGCAATCCTCGCCCCATCAGAGCAGGCGCATCTCTTTAATCACTGGACCAACCTGCTTACTAATTAAGGAGCACAACCAAATAAAATTAAAGCTCACCTGACTTTGTGTAAAAAATAAAGAAGAGTTGTTCATTATGACGAACATCCGCTTTACCAAGTTTTCCCCAAGAAGTTACTACAATTAGTACTTTTCGTATCTGAAAGACATGCTGATAAAGCGTCGTCGACCCATTTAGACGGATTCTTAATTCTGATCCAACCTGAAACCGATTAGTGGTATGATTTTTCCAGACTTTCGACGTTAAGGTGATGGAGGCGTTCTCCAATCCAAGTTCGCGAACCTTCTGCGCCTTTGGCGAGGCTTCAGTGATTCCAGAAGTGTTGGCCAATCGAGAAGTGAGTTGGCCACCACGATCATCTGCAGTGAAGACCGAAACAATAACCTTTCCAACTGACATGGTGTCAGCTGGAAGTATGATGTTTGTCGTGAGGGTCAATTCCATCTGATCCTCCGATATCTTAACGCTTTCATTTGGCTGAGTAATACTACCGTCTGCGTTAAGCAAAGCCTCCCCTGCAAGGATAAAAATAAACAAGGTTAATTTCTTCCCTTGATATACAAAGTCGCATAATTCAACTATATAGGAGATAGAGATCAAAATAAAAACTAAATGACGTATACTGTTTATCAACAAATTACTGAGATGCTGAGTAATCGTTTTCAATCACGGCGAATAGCTCGCGCTTAACCCACATTCTGACTTCAAACTTTCCTTCAAAACTATGAAACCGTTCTTCGGACTCGATGAGATGTTACAATGTTGATCTTTGACTTCTGTTTGGACACCATTCGACAAAAAAATAATAGGTAGCGATTGTACACGCCGGCCAAACCCAAGACATGCAGGGTTTGAATTCTGCATCCTAGGAAAAGAAAAGGGCAAACAAACAACATCACAAGGTTTCCTCACCTCTTGCAGTAACCCAAAGAAGTAGAAGAGCAAGTGAGCAAGTAGCCAAATACATGATTAACCCTTTCATGTCCACCACTAAATACTACACTACCTAACTTTACACGTAACCTAGGTTTAAAAGCGTAATTTGGTTATATAATTTCAGAGCCTTGCAAAGAGTTTCCAGCAATCTGATTGGTCGAGCGGTTCCTTCTATGACGCAATATAAACCGTTCCACCACGCGGTTTATATAAAATGTTAAAATAAAATGTTAATAAATGTTAATAAATGTCCCTAAAATGTTATGATTTTAGAAATTTCTCTGTTGCTCAGCTCTGAAATTATACTAAAACAATTATTCGCCTCAGGTTCGGTGAATAATTGTTAAATATCAGTTGAGATTGAAAATTCGCCACCGTAACTAGTAGCAGGCACACGTGGTGTGAATGTCACGTAGTGTAGTATCCAGTGACTGAGAAGTCAACAACGCTGGGGGTGGGGGAGACAGCAGAGTGCGGAGGGAAAAATTATTTCCTGCGAGTCGTTCAGCGACCTTATGTTCGAGGAATACCATAGAGACCTTGAATGGACCGAAATAAAATCAATTCACAATGAAGTATGCCCAAGTAAACGAAAGAATAGAATATTACATTTTTCTACCCCCCCCTCAGGCTAGTTTTGTCACTCCTACCCAATTCTCTCTCAGTTACTTTACTCCCTCCTGTCTCTCTCCAATGGCAGTGAGAATTTATCAATCACTTTACCTAACAAAATTTCAAAAAGAGAACTTCTTTCACTTTCTCGATGAAAAGAAATTAAAGAATAAATCTAAAGCAAACGTACTCATCATTTAGCAATAGATCCACGAAGTCATTCATGGCCCTTCGCATTTATTATTAAATAAACAATGAAAGGCAATTATATTTAAAAGAAAGACGGCTGAAGATAGTTGACTATCAAAGTTAAAAAGGTCCAGTCTCGGTTGAAATTCTCGAGAAATAAAGCAAGCACTTTGCCGAGCAGGCCCTGTGGCAAAAACAGAAGACCTGTCCGATTTAATTGGCGATGAGTTGAAAGAATAAAGAAAATGAAAAATGTTTTATTTCCCTCATCGCGAGAGGACGCCTTTGTCGGTGTAGCCATATCTATCCGCACATTTAAATTCGGCAGTTTTCCTTTGAGTCAACTCTCGATGACAATGACAATGACAATAACTTTATTTATACTTGAATTTAAGATAGCAAATACATGCTAATATCTCCAAGTTAAATTATCTAAATTTAAAATATTTAAAATTAATCTAATTACTAACTATCTAAGCACTATCTATATATAAAATACAAAATATAATTCTAAAGTAAAGGATATTAAAATATAATTTACAAACAAGATAAGGGGAGTCTCGCAAGGAGTCTGGGCGTTTTGTTTGACTGATCCCACGTTCTTTGAGTTCGAACACGCCCAGCGAGCGGTACCCTGCTGGCAGAGGCGTTTATTTGTTAACTTCCCCTACGGCCCACGTAAAAATAAAGTCCGTGGACCGTAGGGGAAGTTAACAAATAAATGCCTCTGCCAGCAGGGTAAGCGAGCGATACTGTTGGCTAGTGAATAATTCTTGTGATGTAACTTACTTCTCGGATTTCCTAGGGAGAATAGGCAAGGTTTGCTTTCTCCTCTACTCTCTCTTTATACCAAGTGAGAAAACTCGCATTTTGACATTAGCAATACCACCGATTGCGAACACGAGTAAAAAAAGGGGGATGTAAGGCCCTCAACTCTTCCATGGCCTCGTTCGGCGCCAGGTGAACAAAATCGAACGTACTTATTGGAGGGGGATTTGGGACAAAATTCGGAAATGGATCGTACCTTAGGGGAAATCGGTCGTATCTCTAGGTAAGTGGATCGTACCTTGAGGGAAATGAATCGTAGCTCTGGGTAAATGAATCGTACTTTAAGGGAAATGAATCTTCCTTTTAGGAGTTGGATTGTAACTCAAGGGAAATGGATCGTACATCAAGGATATGGATCGTGCATCAAGCTAAGGAAATGGAGCGTACCTCCAGGGAATTGGGTCGTACTGGGAATTTGTCGTACCTCCAGGGAAATGGATCGTAAGTGACGGGTGTGGACAAAACCTGGCCTAGGCCATGGCCTACCCTATGGCCTACCGGTGGTAAGATTTTGGAAAGGATACCACTGATGGAAACCTTTGAACGTTTTCCTGAGTACTGTCTTACCAACGACTTTCTTGTGATGTTTTGGTACAGGCAGCCCGAGCTCTCTTTGAGAACCACACAAGGAACACAATTTGCATAATTTTAAGGATTTATACGGGACTTTCTACAAGATATCTACAGAGATAGTTAAAAGTAAAGATATTAAATAGAAATGGCTTACCTTGTTCCATACGTGTGTTGTTTGCTCCTTGTATCGTTATTTTAACGATTTCACTTGATCTAAGCGGTTTTTTTTTAATCCTGGTTTTCTACCACATAAAGAGAAGAAGTCTTCTCTTTTCATATCCTTGATGCATTTTGATGCATTAAATTTGATGCAAAATATTGGGGGGTAAAAATGCACTCAATCTTCAGTATCTCAAAACGAGTTTATGGTCTTCCCATTTATGGGGGCGCGATAAATACGAGTCCGTGTTTTTCGTACCCTGACCTCCGGTAAATTTTCATATTCACAGCGGCGATCTTCTTTTAAAAAATTAGGGGTGGTCCATGGACCGGGTCCATAGGCGTTGTTCATGGAACCCGGTCCATGTCTTGTATACGTCCCCAGCTTAACCTACCGTTATGGTTGAGTGCTGATATTATTTGCAGTGTTTCGTTCCCTCGGACGTTGAAAATCGTGTTAGCGACCTCTTAGTATACCCTTTTCAGAGAGAGAGAGAGAATTGGACGCCAGCTTATTCGTTCGACTCTTACTGATTTTATTTTATGTCCTTAAAAATCAGACCACCGGTAGGCCATAAGGTAGGCCACAGGGTAGGCCACGCTTTTTCCACACCCGCTCAGATGACATTTTAATTTATGCGCTACAGAAATGAGAACAATTGAGCTTAGTGTATAGCCTTTCCTTGAAAAAAGGGTTTTTAGAACAATGGGTCTTCGTTTTAGACCGCAAGGTCTTCGTTTTAGACCACAGGGTCTTCGTTTTAGACCACAGGGTCTTCGTTTTAGACCACACGGTCTTCTTTTTAGACCACAGGGTCTTCGTTTTAGACCACACGGTCTTCGTTTTAGACCACACGGTCTTCGTTTTAGACCCCAAGATCTTCGTTTTAGAACAGTGGGTCTTCGTTTTAGACCAGTGGGTCTTCGTTTTAGACCACGGGGTCTTCGTTTTAGACCACAGGGTCTTCGTTTTAGACCAGGGGGTCTTCGTTTTTGACCAGTGGGTCTTAGGTCTTCGTTTCTTGGTCTTCGTTTTCGACACATCCACTTTTACACAAGATTTGTCGCTGCAACATATTCCTGCAGTGTATTGCAGTCCTTGCAGCTGTCTACCCTTAGTTACAGTTAACTTTAAGTAAAGCATTGAAGAATCTCTCCACCCAATCTTATTCAAAATGCACTTAAAGTAACCTGTTAACTTCTGAGAAGTACCTAAAAATAATTGTATAAAAATAGCTAGTATAATTAATAAATTAATATGCTGAAATCATTAAAGAGGGGAGGTAATTTCCCCAAGCTCTGCTCCTTCTTCAGTGGATAGCTCAGCAATCTTTTTGGCATCACTTTGTCTTCTGTGTCTTTTGGAGTACCAATTGCAATACCAACATACACTGCATCCAATCAGGATTACAGCTGCAGCAACCCCAATGGAAGCCCCAATGACTACCTCATTTTTGGTGCCTGTTCCATTTAACATAAGAAGAAATTACATGAAATAACAAATTAGTTACACCTTCACGAGATTGTAATTTATTTCAATCTGAAACTGTATTTAATTTTATGGTCACTTTTAAAGACCCAATAAAAATAGGAGATATAAAAGGAACTTTTTCTATTCAGATTGTAGAATATAAATTGAACCAGATTACACAGTATCAATCTAGTATTTGATGTGTTAGATTCATTAAATTGATATAAAAATATCCATTGGTAAACTTATTAAAAATGAGATTAAAAGGGGTGGAAAATGAACAGGATCCAATTAACCCTTCAACCTCCAGAGATGATTGACGATTAGTCATGCACCTCTTCCTATAATTTCCAAACATTATCCAAAAATTAAACAGGTAATGAGAATACTGAAACTTCAGGTGAGAGTTGTTATCTTGATCTAGCACCAGATTCTCCACACTAATGCATGCACACAGAAATATGTAGTAATTAGACTTGGGAGAAATCACAATCAGATCTTGGGAGTTAAAGGACCAAAGGCCTCAAGTTATTACTTTAAGAGAAATTTAGTTAATGTTAGAAGCATGAAATTAGATTTATTGGTTTGCAGACTAGCCATCCAAATGCTGACATTTGAGATGTATTTGTCTGGTTCAGTATAGTTAATTTAAAGATGTTAACAATAAAATGTCCTGATTGATTTCACAAAGTCAATCATTGGCTGCAATTACATGTAGATGGCCAACGAAAAAAATGTGTGGGTTTTGACATATTTAAATACGCTTTTGTCAATTTTTCTCTTTTTCACAACTTTATATAATAACTAAAGTGAATTAATTGGTACCTGAAGTTGAAGTTGTAGCTTCTGTAACTGGTGGTTTATATGTACAAGTTTCTTTGTTTTGGCTGGTCACACCTATATTCAGTGAAATGTTCGCAGCAAAATAACGTTACATAATTTTTTTATTTAAGAACAAAAAAACCTATAAATATCCCCCTCCTGGCAGGACCGTGCATGTCGTTGCTATGGCCCTAAAATAAGCAAATTTAACTCCCATGATCGAGTGACCAAAACAGAATTTCTCCTTAACAATTATCAATGTAATATAAGGGAGACTAGTGATGAGAATTAGGGAAAATGTCAGTTAGGTGATTATTAGTTAATCCAACTCCAATATTCTCAGAACTAACATCACCTGAATTGGGGAGATGACAAAATGCAGACCCCTACTCCATAGAGTACCCTATGGAGTACCTGGATGGAGTACCCCTAAAAATCATGTATTGGTCAAATAAAATACTTTATGAACATGGTGAATCGTTTAGATGTACAAATCCTAATATATTTTGAGCTTGTCAGCTCTCCGATTGTCGCAGTTCGATGTAGTACACGAATTGACCACCATCTTGAAATTAACATTAAACTGCCGACCACTTCCGATGGAAAGCTTTAATGTTGCTAGCATTCATGAACGTTATCGTTAAGAGGCTGACTACCATCTATTTTCATATGATCTTCAAGAGGCCAAAAGGAGGGACAACCTTCATTCTGCAACGAGTTTTACGTCTTCCAAAATACCTGTTTATGTGTGCAGGCGTCTGTAAGAAGTGTGGTGATCCATCTTGTAACACATATGGCCTCCTGGGTTTCTAAAATGTGCAAAACGATGAGGATACAAGCTTACATTTGTAGGTTAAGACTTAAAAAGGTAATCCCTATCTTTAAACTGAGCTTCTCCTCTCCCATCTATTTGTAGCGCAATAAAATTGAGGTATGTAAACAAACCAAAAAATAACAGTGATGGGTCGGCAAATAAATGACTGGGGTTGGTTGTTGATCTGGGAAATGCAGTAAGCTTAAATATTTTACTTCGTGCAGAAATCGAAACAGTGGGTTTTGTTCATCACATGGAGTTGTTTGTCTTCTCGTCAAAGGACTCATTACACAGCGGTAAAACCAGAATTGAGGAACCAGTAAGACTGAGAGACCTAGTCACCTGTGCCCCAAAAAACTGGATTGTATCAAACTGTGACATTCGAAGAGCTGGTAAGCTCAATATATGTTAGGATATGTACATCTAAATGATTCACCATGTTCATAAAATATTTTATGTAACCACTACATGACATTTAGGGGTACTCCATTAAGGTACTCCATAGGGTACTCCAATATGGAGTAGTGCTCTGCGCTTTGTCATCTCACCCTGAATTGTGTGGCAAATAATAATGAAAATTACATCCAAGATATTCAGGGTGAAAGGGTTAAACAACATTTCGTGTATGCATTAAGCATGACTTGTGTGACTGAAAGACAGTTTCACCGCCTAGCTGATGAAACGAGTGACTAAATATCTGACTTATTGGTTGAGTGATGAATTTTCCAATTAAAAGCATCATGAGAATCATCCCTTGATCTTTGGAACCCAAATTTAACAGGGGTGACCTTTAATTCTTTGGAAGAAAATAAATTATGTTATATATAGTTGCCTCATAATAATAGTTGTGAGGTACTTGTAATGTACACTGAATGTTTGAATTTATTAGCAAACTGATTCAAGAGTCACAAAATGGGGCTAATATAGCTTCACAACACTTTCTTCCATTTATCATAAGTGAACAATCCGCTTATCTCCTACTTGAAGAATGTCTTCAGAGGAACTGGTAGCTATCATAATTATAGTTGGTATCAAATAATTTATCGCTGACTGTAACTCTATTGTTTATAGTATAGTACCTGTGGATGGGGTAACTGTGCTCATTGGTGTTGCTGTTCCCCCTTAAAGAAAGATAAAAATAAAAGTCTAGTAGTATATATATATACCTCACTTTTTTGAACGTATAAACAAAACTGTTTAAAGGCAGCTAATTGGGTTTACTACCCTGTTTACACAGATCTCTGAAGGGGAAAAATGATGAAATTCATTGATAATTCACCATGATAAGAACCAAAACAAAAATACTAAACATCGCAGACTTAGGGGTCTGTTTGCCCCCTCATTCCAAAGAACTGACCAAAACCAGGCCACTTCTCACATAAGGAAAATTCCACTGTTATTAAGAATTGTCCCGCCAGATCAACTTGTTCATAGTACATCAGAGTGTTGCAAAACCAAAACTAAGAAATTGTCATATCATCCAATTAGTTTGGAAAAAACTATCATAAATATGGCACATCAAGGTGCAGCTCTATATGTAGTATTCAACTCAACTTTACAGCAGGAAACTAATTAAATAACAATTGTTCAATGAAAGCACAGTGAATTATGTTGAATAATCCTTGAAGCAAAGTCAAGGGGATTATTCAACAAGGTGATTATAGCAAGATATGGTGCAATCCTTGCCCAACAGTTTTTTGTGGGTTTTAACAGATGAGGCTAATTTGATCTTCTTCATCGATGCTGCTTTCTATAATAAATAAAAGAAATTCTCCTTTTTTCTTTCCTTTGCCATTACTTAACTAAATGCAGGGTTGTTGCACTTTTTCATGAACCCAATTCAAGGACATTTTAGGTCATTTTATATAATGACCTTAGCTCTCAAATTCAAGGACCTTTTGCATTAAATTGGAACTGACAGAAATAAAAAAAACATTGCTCTTTATGACATGTCAAACATCATAATTAGACAGGGTATTTAAAAGAGAAACTTGTTCCTGCAATTTGAGAAACTTACCCTTTCAACACCAAAAACAAAAGAAAACTTCGACTTTGATTCAACTGCACTAATATTTTCAAGGACTTTTCAGAAATGTTCAAGGACCTGAGACTAAATTCAAGGGTTAATTTTCAAGTCCTTGACAACAAAAAATGAAATTCAAGGACTTTCAAGGTGTGCTGGAACCCTGTGAAAGCCTCCCTCCCACAGTTAATTATTCACTCCCCACACTGATTGTCAAGAAATTTTCACTAATTTTTCACGACTCCTTATTCATTACACCAATGCCACGTGACTTCGCTCTTTACCCTCTTGTACCATAATTTTGGCACCAGATCACGTACTGAACCACAAGAACTCTGAAGTGACCTTTTAAATTCTCTCTAATGGTCACAGGGTGTGGTTAACAAGGCTTAACCCATTAACAGCCGCAGCTTTAGTAGAAAACTGTGTTTTGAGGCTAGTCGAGCAGATTTCCGGTCACTGTTGTGGTTTTAAAAGCTCAAACTTATCACAAACCCATTGACAGCTTGCACACTCAACGGCCTTTCGATCCAAATGCAAAATGGTGGCCTGAAAATCTCGGGCACGTGCAGAAAGCAAAATTTCGAGATAGTTTTTGGGTTGAAAAGTAATGCCCCACTTACGACTTTTACTTTTCTCTCTTTCTCCTGCCCTTTTTTTCCCCTCTCCTTGCCTGAAGTTTCTCCTCGCTTGCTGGAAATTTAGTAGGCTTCATTTTGGTGTAGAGATTTTACAGGAAACTACTCATTATTTTCAAACCACATGTTCAGAAAGGTAGGTGGGTAATGGAAAAAGATTTTCGTGTAGATTTTCAGGTCAAAGTTATATGGTTTTTTGGCTATTTCTCCAATTTCCTTCATTCAATTGCACTCATTCTGGTATCATTTGTAAGATATTTTCACCCTGTTCAAGTACGTGCTCAAAGTCGTGCTCCAGGGTTAAAAGTAATGACGTCATAAGGCGTACATCAAAAGGATAGCCTGTGCCAAATTTCACAAAATTGGTCATAACATGAAGTAAAAAAATGGTGGGGGCAGATGGCAACTACCGCAAAAGGGCAGTTATGAGAAAACTGCTGTGAAAGTTGTCACAAAGAAAAACTCCTCCTTTAACCAATGCAATATCAATTGAAGGTGATTATAGCATCATTCAGAACCAAAATATCACTCTCAAACAATTTTGAAATAAAAAGAAAAGAAAATTAACTATTTTGAGTCAGTTTTACACTCCTGGGGGCTAAAAATTAAAGGCTCCAGCCTCATATGTTGTGCCCTCTTTGATAAGTCTCATGTTCTCATCCCTTTTCCTCGCTTGGCTCCTAGCAAGTCTGTAATTTTTGTGTTGTCCCTGAATTCTCTTCTCTGCCTGTGACACTCTCTCTAAATCTCTCCTTTTGCTTGCTGTTTTGGTAAAGGTTCCAACACCATTATGCCAGCCTTGCATGACCATAACATCGTGTTTGGCCTTTGCGCCACAGCTGAAATGCAGTGCTGCTGAAGCAGATGCAATGGCAATCCTCTTCTTCCCATACCATTTGTGTTTAGGGCACATTTTCCAAACCAGAGCATTAATAGATTCATTTGCATTCTGTGTGAATCCAGGGAGACATCTGGTCAGAAGAGCTGGGTCGCTGAGCCTACTGTAAATTGGTTCTAGATGCTTCAAAAAAACCGCATCAAAGTGATGGGGCTTGTCAACATCTTTTAGTCCCTTCTTGAATTTACACCATGAGTTTACAGAACAGTATTTGTGTCTCTCTTTAAGTTTCACATAGCCTGAGCAAAAAAGTAACAGTTTAGAAAACTGGCTCCAGAAGGTATGGATGAAAGTTTACATAAATTTACCTGAAGCACAATCTTGGCTGGCTGAGTGAACCCTCTCAACAAACTCTTGAAGACTTTCCATGTGCACAAGCCGATACCCCTTGGCCACTGACATTTCATGAGAAATATCCTCATCAGATCTACTTTCATTGTCACTTTCCTGTAGCTTTCTCGAAGAAACAGAGGCACGAGGCTCCGGAATTTGCTCGCTTACCACGTCATCCTCACCAACAAACGTGATCTCCAATCTAAGTCTCTTCGATGCATTTTCCGCGATCTTTCTGTGCTTTGGGATACCTTTGAAAGCCTCTCTTTTCTTACCACTACCACTTTTCTTTATAAATCATTGTTTTACACCAGATTTATTCCCTTTAGGCATGATTATTCGATGGTAAACAAGCTGAAGTATTTTGAATGTGTTCAGGGAACAAAGGAAAGATGGATAGATCGTCTGCTGTTACTGCCAAAAGGCGTGTCTTTTCGTGACCGCTTACAGCAATGATTTCAAACGCTCGATCGGAGAGAGAGGTTTGAACTAATGAAGAACCAACAAAAATACAAGTTTACAAAATTCATAAATGTAAAACTGAAAGGCGGCTAAAGCGAACGCGATGAACATAATAACTATAGGAACGTACATTGTATCGGCGCTCAATGTAGGCCGCGAAAAAAGGCAACTCTAAACCAGATGTTCTCTCGGTGAAATCAACGATGAAACTAAAAGGCTAGAATATTAACAACATGTAAATTATACCGAACGCGGGAAAGAAAAACAAAACATATTCCCGAGGGAATGCTAATAAACTGAAATAAAATGCAAAGAAAGCTAAATTCTACATCTGCGTGGAAATTGTTGCGGAAATTGCGTTCTTCAAGCTTTTACTGATAAAATTAATTTAAAAAGACTTCAAAACCTTAAAGTTGATAGGTTAAACCATCGATTTAAAGCAAAAACCAAAAAGTGGTCGGATGACCAAAAATTTGCAAAAATCTGACTAGATGGCCCCCTTAAATAAACAATACACAATTTAACCATACCTGTAGTTGGTGGCCAAACAGGATTTTAATCACTTGCAGATGCAATATTTACAGCAGACGGAACTGTAAGAAAAGAAAAATAACATTGTTCACTCATTTTTCATTACCACGACTCCTTATTCATTACACCAACCCCAGGCCACTTCACTCTTGTGCCATGATTTTGGCACCAGATCATGTACTGAACCACAAGAACTCTGAAGTGACCTTTTAAATTCTCTCTAATAGTCACAGGGTGTAGTTAACAAGGCTTAAACAAACAATACACAATTTAACCATTGTGCCTGTAGTTGGTGGCCAAACAGTATTAAGATCATGCACTTGCAGATGCAACATTTACTGGAGGTGGAACTGTAAGAACAGAAAATTGACATTCCCAGAAAATTTTTTTTCATGATGTAGAAGGGCGACCCTAAAAGCCGGAACGGTAGAATGGTGGAATGGCAGAAAATGAATCCAAATCCTAAAAAACACTGGCAGAAAATGACCCCAAATCCTAAAACACGGAATGGCGGAAAATGACCCCAAATTCTAAAATATGGAATGGATATCAGGGCATGTTGCCCAAATTTTGTACAAAGACACTCAAGTGCTTGGCTCATTTGTCCCTACGAGGATAAAGCGTGTGACTAAATAAAGTGTTATTTTTTTTTCTTTTACTGAGAGGTATAAATAATAATGAACCATTACATACGTGAAAGATAGCTGCATTTTCGCATTGTAAACCTGTTTAGTTACCTTTTGTTATGCTAAATTTGCCATGAGATTTAGTCGCATCATAAAAAGTCGCACAGCATGGGAAAACTAACTTGACATACCACATTACAGTAAAAAATTGTAACTTTGATACGTTTCCTGGTCACGTCTGTATTGATTTAATGAAACAATATCTCATATACTTGTCAGTGTGAGAACATCATAGGAACGTTTTCAGGCTTCTCAAAATATAACAACGTTCAGCCCCAGCTCCAAACTTAGACTAGCGTGAGAGAGAGCCCTCATTACCAGTTTTGGGCCTTGAGTAACACTAGGTGAAGAGAGGTTTACATGGGGTCAGATCGTGCGTGTGGGAATTTCTCATGGCTTGAAAAGAGAAAAAAAGTTAGCAGAAGGAAGCCGTCAAGAAGAATTTAAAGAATTTCTTTGCGACCAGATGTCCAAAACACCATCCTACTATAAAATTTATGGCTTACATATCTACAGAAGAAATAAACTTTTTGGACAAAAAAAGAGGCTATTTCATCAATTCATTTGGCAGATTTCTTCTGTTCCTCAACAAATTGCACATCATCAATTCTGTGGCATTTAAATTGCCCCTCCTGGAAGGGAAGTGTAATTCTGTCTTTTCACGCCATTAGAAATTCCCACACGCAACTCCTTGAGAACCTCTCTTCACCTAGTGTTACTTAAGATCAAAACTTATGCGTCGACAAAGAAACGCTTGTATTAAAGGTTCGTTAAACGAGGACTTGCTCCGCCGCAGGTTGTCCTGCGGTGTTTGTTTAGTTTTATGCGCGCGCTCATACGAGTGCGCCTGACTGTTTTCTCTCCATTGTGTGTCTTCCATCTTGTTTCGACGTGTATGAATAAAGCGTATTTGTTGTGTAGTTCGCGTTACTTACTGGCGTGGTGGCAGCAGTTCAAAAACCCACCTACACCCTCAACACTAAGTCATCAAACTACTGGCAAAGGTCCAACAACGAGCCGGCCTTCGCTACGACCGGAAAAAGAGCTAAGTATAGTATTCTCCTTCGAGATAATTATGCATAGTCTGCAAGAATGGCAACCACATGTGCACCAAAGCAATGGTCTCTCACCAAATCAGAAAAAATTACTTCATTTGAAGCCTGGCGACAGAATCTTCAATATATCTTGTCCCTTGATGCTAATTTTGCTCCCTTCTTAAGCGATAATGTCTCTTGGCAAAAGAAAACTTCTGCACACCCCACAAGAGGTCTACAAATTGACGGCGAAAATGTTCCTCTAGCGCGATGACGAACAGCACACCGAAAGGCTGCCCATCTCGACTTGATGCTAGGCCAAATAGCCAACTATTGTCCTGTTATATCAAGAAAATCAATCGTGAAATCTGCGACTTCGGTCAACGGAATATGGCAAATGATTAGGATACATTATGGCTTTCAGTCTTCTGGCACCCACTTTATCGACTTCAACAACATAAAACTCGAACCCAATGAACGACCTGAAGATTTGTTTCAGCGACTCATGTCTTTTGTAGAGAATAACCTCCTAGTCGCCTACGGCCCCATCATCCATCACGGTGAAACCGTGACCTCCAACAAAGGGTTGTCCCTATCCCTTGAAAACTTAGTGATCCTAACCTGGCTTCGCCTCGTTCATTCCGACCTACCAACCCTCGTGAAACAACGTCATGGTACAGAACTGCGCTCCAGGACTCTAGCATCACTCAAACCGGAGATATCACAGGCTCTCGACTCGCTCCCAGAACAGATCCGGTCCGCCGCTGACTCCAAAATATTACGGGCTTCCACATCAACATCTACATCTAGTCCAAGACCCCTTCAACGGCCACCGTATCGTCTTCCCAGACCACGTAACCCAGCAGTCACTAGACGTCCCATGGTGTGTCCGCTATGCAAAGAAGCCAGTCGTCATAACACCCATCACTATCTTAGCACATGCCCATATCTTCCACACGTAGACCGCCTCTTCATGGCCAAATCACGTGCCACTCTCAACGTCGAGGATGAAGAGACACCTTACGACCTCGATGTCGGCGCCCTTGAGCTCGATGGCGACGAATGTGAACATCCCCCGTCGGCACGGGCCGTCTCCCATAGAGTCAGTTCCAACTATTCACCCTCTCTCGGTGCTTTCTACATGCAGCAGCCAGTGCGTCTGACCCTTGACACTGGTGCTGAGACAAGCATGATTAAGGCAAGCCTCGCCCACAAGCTCAACCTCAACATCGTCAAGTCCAACCAAAAAGCCCTATTGGCCGATGGGACGACTCCCTTGAATGTTATCGGTGAAGACCACATTACACTGTCACGCACCAAGATGAAGTTAACACTCGAAGTGCTCGTCGTAGAGAATCTAGATGTCGACATCCTAGCAGGTATTCCGTTCCTCATTGCCAATGACATCACCATATGTCCCGCAACTCAAGAAGTAACAATCAATGGGTGGGAAACAACCAAGTACCTCCCCAAAGCTCCAGTCAAGAGCCACCAAGCCTTTTCCGTGAGACAAACATCCTCCTACGTCCTTAGGTCATCGGCCCCCGCAACCGTCGTCTGGCCCGGTGACTTCGTCGAAGTCACAGTAGGGACCTTTAGCACTGACGACGAGAACGTGGACGACGACGTATATGACCGATTTAGGCCTGGGACAGGACCATCGTCCACGGCGGGAAACATAAATACTTTAGCACATCGGTTACGTGGACCAGTCCTTTACTGCTAATTTGAAAATGCAAAAATTATCCACTAAAACAATTTAACTTTTTCAGTGTTGTAATCAACATCAAGTGATTCAGAGCTAAGCTAAGTTTACATACAGAGTCGATCCGAGCGGTTCGGATATTTTTCAAAGCCCAGAAATCTTCTTAAAAATGCCAGCTGGTATAAATGACAAAACTGTAATGAAATATCCGCAATTTATAATTAGAAAAGCATTTATAAGGCTACGTACATACCCTGCAGCACTTTTATCATCATCCGCCATTGCTTTTTCCGCTGTAAACTGTAAAGCTCAATCTGCAACTCGAAAGAAATAAAGTTTTTTTCCATCACGGTTCGATCAAATTATTTTCGACACTGTTTTTATTCCCTAACTGACCCTTTAGATTGAAGAAATCCCTTAGATAGGGAAGTATAATTGAGAAAACAAATAAAACATACTCGCGTTCTCGTCAAGACGGCGAATGGCGGCAAATGGTGTCCTGAACGAGATGTGGACGACGACTCGTGCTCGGTTGGGCATGCGTGGTGGCATCAAAGTTCGTTTTCCCAACTACCGGTCGGTCACATTCACGTTCTCGTTGTCACAGCTAAAGGTCCCTAGTACCTCCAGAGCTACGAGCCGAATCCACAATTGTCTTAGAGCCTGCCCCCACCTCCTGGCTCCAACCACAACTGGTAGTCACCATAGACGGTAAAGCCCGCATAACAAACGACACCGACGAACCACAGGTCATAAGACGCCACCACCACATCTGCTTCGCCCGCCACACTACTCAAGATGTTCCAGTTATCAATCCCTCCCAAGTCCCTTCTCTCCCCTCGCAGCCAAAGGTCAACATTCCATACTCCCACGGAGTCAGCTAGACCCCAACAACATTCTTGAAGACACAATTCCTGATCAGTTCCAACAAGCCTTACTCAAGCATGACTGTGTATTTGGTCCAGACCTACCTGGCTACAATGGCGCCGCAGGTTCCATCGAAGCCCACGTGAACATGGGCCCCGTGGAACCCTCTCAACACAAGAGTCGTCTCCCTTTGTACCCCGCGATAAGTTGATCGAGCTACTGGAAAAGTTAGACGAGCTTGAAAAAGATCACGTTTTCTCCAAACCCGAGGAGGTCGACGTCCACGTAGAGTACTTGAATCCCTCATTTCTGGTTAAGAAGCCCTCTGGTGGCCATCGCCTCGTTACTGCCTTTGCCAACGTCGGTCGGTACAGCAAACCTCAACCTTCATTGATGCCAGACATAGACTCTACCCTGCGTACTATTGCCCCTTGGAAGTTCATAATCAAAACCGACCTTAGCCATGCATTCTATCAGATTCCACTGGCTAAAGAATCTCGCAAATACTGCGGTGTCGCTACCCCTTTCCGGGGTATAAGTGTCTATTGCCTATCAGCTATGGGTATGCTCAGCTCTGAAACTGCACTGGAGGAGATGATGTGCCGCGTCCTCGGCGACTTCACACAGGAGGGACACGTTGCTAAAATAGCCGACGACCTATATCGTGGCTCCTCTTCACCCGAAGAGCTCTTACTTATCTGGACCCGCGTCCTCGACCAACTCGACAGATGTAATTTGCGGCTCTCTCCCTCAAAGACCGTCATTTGCCCTAACTCAACGACAGTCCTCGGATGAGTATGGTCACAAGGAACCCTATCTGCCAGTCCTCATCGTATTGCTGTTCTGTCTTCATGCCCTCTCCCTACAACTGTTAAGGACATGCGTTCATTAATTGGTTCATACAAGGTCCTTGGGCGAGTTCTACCTTAATGTGCCTCAATAATCGACCCTCTGGAAAGCGCGATCTCGGGAATGCAATTGCCAGACACCCTTGCTTGGACGAAAACCTGACCAAGGTCTTTCGTTCTACTCAACAGGCTTTGTCAGGGTCAAGACCCATCACACTCCCACGCCCCACTGATACATTGTGGATTGTCACGGACGGTTCCGTCAAACAACGTGGTCTCGATGCTACATTATACATCACTCGCGACAACGGTCTACACCTTGCAGGTTTCTTCAGCGCCAAACTTCGCAAGCATCAGATTCAATGGTTACCGTGCAAAGTCGAGGCGTTAAGCATTGCAGCAGCTGTCAAGCACTTCAGCTCCTATATCACCCAATCTAGAAATCGCGCACACGCACTAACCGACAGCAAACCGTGTGTTCAAGCCGTGGAAAAGCTCTGCAGAGGGGAGTTTTCCGCCAGCCCAAGAGTAACATCGTTCCTTACTACAGTTAGCCGCTTTCAAGTCACCCTGCAACACCTAGCAGGTTCTGCAAACCTCCCGCCAGACTTTGACAATTGAAACGACCCAGATTGCTCGGAATCAAACTGTCAAATATGCTCTTTCATCCGTACGACCCGAGACTCTGTTGTCCGTGGTGTGACCGTGCAGGACATAATTGATAACAACAAGCCTCTCTCCTACACTACCCGCTCCACATGGCAGGAAGTGCAAAATGGCTGCCGCGACTTACGACGCGTGCATGCACAATTAAAACATGGCACCCGACCCTCCAAAAAACTCATCAACCTCAAAGACGTCAAGAGATACCTGAATGTCGCCTCCATTTCTCGGGACAGCCTCCTCGTCGTGAAATGTGAGCGTCCTTTTACCGCTACTTCCAAGGCCATAGTCGTCCCCAGATCCGTTTTCAACGGCCTGCTAACCGCCCTTCATGTGCGTCTCAACCACTCATCTCGGAACTAACTTCAAATGGTCGTGCAACGCCACTTTCACGCCATAGACATGGGCCCTGCCTTGACACGTGTTTCATTATCCTGCCACACGTGCGCCTCACTACAGAAGTTTCGAAGCACTCTCTTCAGCCAGACGTCAGAAGATCCCCCAGATGTCATCGGGATTGCTTTTGCTGCCGACGTCATCAAGCGTGAGCGTCAGTTAATCCTCGTTCTTAGAGAGTGTGCCACGTCTTACACCGCTGCTTTCCTCATCCCAGACAAGAAATACGACAAATTGCGGAATGCCTTAACGTGTCTAATTGTAGATTTGCACCCCATCGATGGCCCACTTGCCGTTATCCGTGTCGACCCCGCCCCTGCCTTCGTCTCGTTAAGCAACAACGACGGCCTCAAACACCTAAATGTTTGGCTTGACATTGGGCGCATCAAAAAACAAGAACAAGAACCCTGTTGCAGAAAGGGCAGTACAAGAGCTCGAGGACGAACTACTAAAGCAGGAACCTGGTGGTGGTCCTATCGATCAAGTGAGCCTA